GGCTCCCTGCTGGCGTGGCCAGCCAGGGGCACTGCTGTCACAAATCTCGGGCTCAGTGGCACTGAAGCACCTCAGATGGAGCACCCAGGGGGACAACTATCTCGAATAACTCCAGTTACTACACAGGTAAGTAACTGTCCCTTCCTCAAGGTGGTTGTCCCCGTGGGTGTTCCGCCACCCACCCTCCTCCCCTCTGCTTTGGATTTCTGCTGGCGTGGCCAGCCAGGGGCACTGCTGTCACAAATCTCGGGCTCAGTGGCACTGAAGCACCTCAGATGGAGCACCCAGGGGGACAACTATCTCGAATAACTCCAGTTACTACACAGGTAAGTAACTGTCCCTTCCTCAAGGTGGTTGTCCCCGTGGGTGTTCCGCCACCCACCCTCCTCCCCTCTGCTTTGGATTTCTGCTTGGGTCCGGATCTGAGAAGAACTGACGAGTTGGCTGGCCACGCATGCACATTGCACACACCATGCGTCTTGCATCTGAGCCTTGCACACGCCGCCAGCTGAGGGGGCACTGCTACTAAGAATCTCTGGTGGGAGCAGCAGAGCTGGCACACCCAGGATGGAGCACCAATGGGGACAGCCATCTTGAAGAACTCCAATTACTGCATAGGGTGAGCAACCTTCCCTTATAGGGCGTATCTAGACTACACAGAATGGTCAAAAGAGGATATGCAAATTCTGCAGATCTTTCGAAAGTGTGATCAGAAGAAGAAATGCAAATTTCTGTGGAATTTGCATATCTTCTTTTAACCATTCCCTGTAGTCTAGATGAGCCCATATTCTCTCCGAAATACAGGACACTCCCTAAGACTGGGATATATGCTTACAAGACTGCAATCACATAACCAGCCTCCTTTCTCCAGGAAAAAATATCGCAGATATTAATTTGTAGAATATTGGTAGAAAATCCTTGCATTGTTTGTGTTTGAACAATCATGAGAAATTGCAGTATTTTCATTCTGTTTTCAATAAAGTTTAAAAGCCAGATAATTAATACTTACCAAGAATTTTTTTCCCTCTACAGAGTTGGATTTGTTTTCATCCTAAATACTAATGAAGAAGTTGATGGGAATAAGGATGCTGGAGTAGCTCTTTTTAGAGCTTTTAACTATATTAGAGAAGAATCTGATACCACTCAAGCTTTTATCTCCATGATAAATGTTAGTGCCTGTAAATAGATAAAAATAATGCATAATATTTTTTTAAAACTTTTTGCTTTCCTGTAAACGCAGAATTTCCCCTCCTTGTGACTGCACAGTATATTTTCTTATCCTTCAGTTAGAAACAAAATTGATGTTAGATTGCTGCAGGATGTCTTACTGAAAAGTATTTTCATGCTCCTCACATTCATTTTGGTAATATTGTCTGTCTACACATTTTCTTCAAGGATGAAAAGAAGGTATTTTAGTAGTCAGTATTTTCATTTGGAGTCATAGTTCTGGGCTTTTTATATGGCTTTTTCATGACTGCCTTATCATTTGTGTTGTGGCACACATTGGAATAATGATATTTGAAGTTATTTAGGCCATTCCTTATGCTTTATAGAAGCGGTGCACAACCCAAGGGGGTCGCTGCTGTCTTTTGGGGGGTGGGGCACGCGCAGCACTTTGACTCAGACCGACCAGTATTTTCTTTTCCAAGCATGGCACCCTACGTACATATGGCATGTACCACTACTTTATAGGACTTCTGTGGTCATTTTATACTATAGAAAATGGGGCAGACTGGATAAGACATTTTTTTTATATAAGCATTTGCCTAGTCTACTTGACTCTTCATGTCTCTAGAAAAGCATAGAAATCATTCTGGCTCAGAGATTGCAAGAGAAGTCTGTCATCCTCTGCAAGAGTGGGTGGCTTCAAAGGGGAAATTTAGGGAGTATTTAGGGACATACACAGGAAACATTGGATGACTTGAAGCATAGGAGATCTGCAAGGACTGTTCACAAAATATTGAACTAGAGAATAGGGTAGAAACAGATTTTTAAAAAATTTGTAATTGTATATAATGCATTTTTTAATTTTCTTTGTCCAGTACCATTCTCTAGGAGCAGATGTATAAAAACTTACAGTGATGAATGCATTACAGATTTCTTAGGTAGGTAGGTAGAAATGGACCAGAGAGGAGAAACTGGAAGAGCACTTTAAGGGCCAGACTCAAATGTGAACAGACATCTCTTCATTTAATATTATTAGAGAGATACTATTGGGAATTTTGTCAAAATGGGAGACTTTATTCTCTAATGGGAGAATTTAGACTTGGAATTTATTTGAATCAATTATATAGGAATTATTTGCAATTTACATTCTAAGCAAGGAGAAAAATTGAACAGAGAAAGGCTCTAGACCTAAAGTGGATAAATAACCACTTCAAAAGTATTTTAGGTATAAGTAGAGGGACCTGAGGGAATAGAAGAAGGAATTTATCAGCAAAGGAAGCTACATAATGGAGTTTAGAAAATGAAGGAATGAATTGAGACTTGCTCAATTAAATTAAATAATAAGGGATTTTTTTAAATAAAAAGAATAAGGAAGGATAAGATTTGGCTGCTGTATACCATGGAGAATATAGATGATCTAGATATATCTCAAATACCAAATAAATACTTTGCCTTGATTTTCAGTAAAGATTATAATATTGAATGTAGGATGGCTGATGGAAATGGGTGTATAGAAATGACCAAATCTGGGCACTGGATAATTTTCATGCCAAAATACTGAAAGAACAGTAATACTGTGATTACTAGTCCAGTAACTGCGATTTTTAATACATCTATCTGTTCCGAGATAACATTGTATGATTAGAGAACAGCTAACATTACACAGGATGAACATCTTTAGTCTGGTATCCTCAGGGCCTGACTGGTGCTAAATCAGAGAATTTGCTGAACCACAGGAGGTCAATATTGTGTAGCAGCATTACCTACACTTCCACTGCTTACTGGTCTCTCAGAAGATATTTAGGGGTAAATTAGAGCTAAATAACAACACAAAACACTGAGAGTCAGGTCTGGTGGCTGTAAACAAACTTTCTGAGACTGCAGGAAGCTTAGCCATACCCATGATAAGTGGACATCCAGCTAACTAAAATCATTCCAGACCATGGATGTTGCCAAAACAGAGCACGCTGGACTAGAGAGGATAAACCTGTACCTATGTTTAAGAAAGGTTAAAAAAGTGATGTAGTCAATTACAGATTTATACATCTAATCTTGGTAATTGATGAGACTTTGGAATAAATTGCGAAGGAAAAAATTTTGAATTCATGGAAGTAAATAGAAATGTGGATGTAATTCATCATGGATTTGCCAAAGGAAGATCAGATTGTGCCAGATCTACTTGATTTTTTTGATAAAATAACTGGTTTTTAGAAGAGAGAAATGCAATAGTTCAAATATGCTTGAACTTCAGTAGAGCATTTTACACACTGTGGAAAATAATTAAGTTAGGGTATGTCTACACTACCCCGCTAGTTCGAACTAGCGGGGTAGTGTAGACATACCCTACATTAGCATCCCTTTTCCGGAAAGGGGTGCCAATGTAGACACAGTCGTAAGGTGTGAAACTGAATCACACATTCACCTAAACCCATCAAAATCAATTTTTGCTTTTATTTATAAATATTCAAAATTAATTTTCACCTATAGTATCTGTCATGAATATATGATCAGATAAGATACAACAGGGAGGGCCTAAGTTACCAAGTTCCAGGTTCTTGGAAAACTTTACTCTATTTTATAATGATCATTTGAGTCTGTGGTTCATTCTTCTGTTCCTGTTTCTCATCTGGTATTCTCCAACTTGGTGACCTGTTCAATTGGTTCCTTGTTACATATTTATGAGAGAAGATAGGGACTTAGAACCAGAATGGTAAGGGAGTAAGAATTTGGGTGAAAGGGAGAAGGCAGCTGGTGATGCTGAAAAATAAACTCTTCAGTTGGAGGGTGGTTACTAGTGGATTTCCTCAAAGATCAGTCTTGGAACCAATCTTGTTCAATATTTTCATTAATGACCTTAGAACAAAAAGTGGAAGTGTGCTAGTGAAATTTTCGGATTTTACAAAGGTTAGATGGGGGCTTACTTGGAAATGGTTGAAGAGATGAGAGACCTGGGTATGTGGGTTGGTCACAGAGTTATGATAAGTTACCAGTATGATGTGGCTGTGAAAAAGGCAAATATAATCAGGTGAGGCATTTCTAGTAAAGAAAGAGAAATATTAATGCCCTTGTACAAGGAACTTTTAAGACCTCACTTGGAATATTGTATTCAGTTCTATTCACCCATGCTCAAGAAAGAAGAATTCAAACTAGAACAGGTATAGCGAAGAATTAGTAGGATGATCAGGGACAAGAAGCAGCTATCTTATGAGAAGAATCTGGAAGAACATGGTTTGTTCAGTCTAGTAAAAAGAGGGCAGAGAGGGGTTATAATTATTCTGTATAAATGTATGGGGAGTGAACATGAGGGAGGGTGAAGAGCTATTTAAGCTAAAAGACAATGTTAGCACAAGAAGACATGGGTATAAAGTAACTACGAACACATAAAGGCTGGAAATTAGAAGGTGTTTAACGGTTGGAGGAGTGAGGTTCTGGAATAGCTATCAATAGAGATTGTGGGGGCAAACAACTTAACTAGTTTTGGGAGAGAGCTGGACAAATGTATAAGTGGGACTGTATAACAAGGTTGCTTGTGATGGCGGAGGACTGAACTCCGTAACCTGGGGAACATTCATTCGGTTTTATGTCTTTTTTTCCGTAAAGTTCATGCTAAGAGCTAAACAGGAAGTAGAAGGGAATTCTTCTCAGCCATTAAAAGTATTGCTAGCTGACCCAGAATATTGGATGTACTTTCCTCTGCAATATCAACTATTAACTACTGTCAAAGATAGGATAGTAAACTATTAAATCAAATATATCCTATATTCTACTTAAAACAATGTATATTGTTATGATAAATATTAATATTATTTTATCTGTTTTATAATTTTTACAGATGTACCATAAAATGAAAGATGGAGAAGTTTTCACTGTTAACCATGTGAGGAATGTTCTTAGAAATGAGTTCCCTCATGCTGATATTCAGAGTATACTGGGTGTTGATTCTGATTATGATGACAAAAGAAAGGTATGTTAACAGAAGAGTTTCAACAAATAGTTCTCTGCACAGAGCTTAGTTTTTTATTTATTAGTTTCTAAGAAATTAATACTTAAATAAAATGGGTTAGATTTTTTTCAGACTATTGCAGTGTTGGAAAGGCCAATTTGGATTATTTCCCTCAATAATAATATTTCATGTTGATTCCTATCTACTATGTACAGCTGCGACTGTGGAAGATACTTAGTGGTAAATTTATTAGGTAAGTATCATTTGCTATAGATGCTACGTTACCCAAGGAGCCTGGCTAAGGAAGCAATTCTATCTTCTTAGCAAATCATATCTTCCTGGGAGAGAATCTGCCTTGTGGATATAACCTTTCTGACTCAGATTCCCAAGATTCCTTTGGTCAGACACTGGAGTGTTAACAAAATCACAAACAGGAATTATTAATGCATATGTGCATGTAATATTGACCAATCAGAGATTGCTGGGGAACTTTTTCAAGCCCTCAGCTATCTGAGATGAAATGAAATTTATGTTATTTAGAAAGTGACTGTGTACTGTGAGAACTTTGCTTCTTCTTCAAGTGGTCCCCTTGGGTGCCCCACTCTAGGTGTTGGGCTCATCCGGGCATCACTGGTTGGAAGTTTCCAATAGCCATTGTCAGCCAGACCACGCATGCGCGGTCAGCTTCTTGCGCCTTCAGTCATTGCATGCAGTCCAGCTCCTGCCAGTTCCTCTCAACCATCCTCAGTTGCTGATGGAGCTTCCCTCGTCTCCTCAGTCAGACGGAGTTTTCTGTGTAAAAGTTCATAATTAATTATAGTTACATAGTTCTTATGTTTATAACAGTTGTTAGTATGTAGTTATATATCAGAGTTAGTTCTTCATTACCGTTACCTCATATTTGATTGTGGGCTCTTGGCAGTCTTTCGGCCAGACCCCACCATGCCTGGTTCACCAGGTTCTAAAAAGTGCTCTCTCTGCCAGGAGGCTATTCTGGCTTGGATGGCCATGCAGCCTGTATCCGTTGCCTGAGGGAAGCGCATATTCCCCAAAAGGGTAGCCATGTTTAAAACTTACAGCCAGGGCATGCAGGGACAGGGAAATGTGGCTGAAGCTGATTTTATTTGATAAGGCCTGTGCAAGCGGCACACCACCGCTGACTTGAGACGCAGCTGTGGCGCACAAGCGGAGAGCTTCGTCCCCCGGGGCGACAGCAGCAAAGAAACTGAGAACATCCCCCACACGCTCTTTGCCTGCTGCTCGCACCGTAAGGGTCAGCAGAGGAGATAAGCCGGGCACATTGGGATCTACTCCCGTGGCCTCAAAAACATCCTTGGTGGCCATATCTAAAAAATCGGCAGTCCCAGCACCCATCGCCAGCAGCCTGTTGGCACCGAAGACAGTTCCGGGACCGAGAACCGCTCATAAACAAGCTTCGCAACCGCCAACAACATGATCTCCGGCACCAAAACTAAATGTGACAGCGCCAGAACAAGCAGCTGCACCGTCCGTGCCGTATGCTCCAGCACCGCAGAGCGCGAAGCCGAGTCAGACATCGGCACCAATAGCAGCTGATAATGGGGAAGAGCAGACAGAGTGGACAGCGGCACTGTCCCGGCACCAAGGAAAGCCTCTTGCAAAACGAGCATGCATCTGCCATCACTTTCACCATCCCCAACTTTCTCCCTGGCACCGTCCCTCTTACCTCATATGCGCCATTCCCTTATACACGGGAATCAGTGGTCTCGCACCACCAGAGCGTCTGTGTCACCTCGGCTCAGCCCCAGATCACTGCACCAAGAGCTGCCGCGAGACCATACAACACACTCTCACAGGCACACCTCACTTTCACCTCTACCATCTGGCAGGTGTTTGCCTCATTTACTGTGCTCAGCAATGCTATTACAGAAGGCATGGCAGCATAGCATCCTTGAGACTATCTTCCCCAACTTATTCTGACCAGTACTATGATCGATATCACAGATCACACTGTTGTTATAGGTCTTGCTTCTATGCCCGATCGTCATGCTACTGCTACTCTCCGGACTATCATCACATTCCAGCTGTGACACACGCACAAAACAGAAGGAGTACCCTACTGCCCCGCCTTCGAACAGTCCTCTGACACAACCACATCAGTCTGAACCGGAGGAAAGTCAGATATCCAAAGGAGGATCAATCTCCGGAGACTTCGCCAATCAACCAGTCTTCATTCTCTCCAGATGAGGCAGTCTTCCCAGGCGACCTGAGGCAATTTCAGGAACTTTTTAAGTGGGTTGCTCAATCTCAGGACGTGCAGCTAGCGGAAGTGCAGACCAAACAATATCGTCTGCTGAAAAATCTCCATCTGCAACAATGATCAAAAATTGCCCTTCCGATAGACGAAGCAATCATGGAGGCTGCAGAAGAAATTTGGCAGACCCCAGCATTTACGACACCAACTAGCAAACGGGCCTGCAAGAAATACTTCATGCCATCGAAGAGCCTGGAGTTTTTATTTAATCACCTGCAACCTAATTCTCTGGTTGTGGATGCGGCCTGACAAAGCTCAAAGATGCCGCAGTTGAGAAGCACCGGGGCAGAC